TATATGCAGGTTTTCTCCAAGTAAACCAAACTTTGTTACATTTTACGTCCCTTCCTGATATTTTATACTGTTTGAAAGTTACATGTTTTTCTTGCTTTGCATAATTATGGCAGGAGATGAATGATTAGAAATAACTTTGCATAGACTAAGACTTGAAGGCAATGTTACAACAATAGACTCATATAGAGTTTCATGTCTTACGGCTATACTTTTGAAATGGTGAGTTTTTATATATATATATACAGTGCCGTGAAAAGGTTTTTGCCCCCCCTTTTTAATTTTTTGCATATTTGTCACACTTAAAAGATTCAGATCATCAAACCAATTTTAATATTACATATATATTTATGTTTATATTTATATTTATTCCGGTGTTCTGTTTTGCTCCATCAAAAATGTCCCATTGTAAATCCATCAATACTTGGACGATACACCTCTGATGCTGCGAGTCTTGTAACTAGAGTAAACTATAGTAGCGCTAAAATGCCACATTTTGTGAGAAAGCTACTTTAAACACACAGAAGTTATTTTTGAAGGTTTTAAAGCGGGAAAATGACTCTTTGTGGTTATTGTGGCTTCACACTGATTTAAGACTGCACTAACTGAAGGATGTGGTGAGAACTTCCCTTCTGCAGACCAGGAAGTGCAGTCAGAGCAGACTGATGACACACTTCCTTTAGTTTTTTCGTACACATAAACAAACAAACACACACACACACACACACACAGACACACAGAGGCAGCAGGCGGACAGATGCGTCATGTGTGAGGAGCGTTTGTCATGTGTGGGTGTCATAACTGTCAGGCACAAATGATGGATCACTGCAGATATTAAAATGGGTAGCCCAACATCTGATGTTTTTTTGTTTATGAATCTAATTTAGAGCCGCAGAGACGCTTGAATCAAATTCTGAATTGCCTTGACACATTGGCGTGTGAAATAGAGGTCGCTATTTGAGGATGTACTCGAGTATTTTTTTTGTGGGATTTTGTCTCCGACTCATCTAAAGATGTTATTTTTGTGTTTGGGGTTACTCTTTTTGCGTAATTAAAAATTGATAATGACACTGATAGCATTAGCAGTCCTTATTTAGAGAAACCAACCCTATTAAATCTCCAGGCCCTGTGGGAATGAAATGTCTTTGTTCTGTGGAACATCAGCATAATTATTTAGCAAAGCGTTAATAATCTCCTCAAGACGTTTAGTGTTTTATCTCACAGGAAATTACAAATTGCACAGCTCTTTAGGATAAACAGATCAAGGCAATAAGGATGTGCCTTCGACGCACACTGATCTGAAAACAGTTTGGAGGACTTCAGTGGCGTAAGCTGGTCTAGGATCAGGTAAGGATGCGGTGCGGGCCGATGGGATGTGTAATCCTCCAGCGTGGGGTTATTTTTAGTGTGTGATCCTCTCAGGGGAGCGCCTCATGTGTTGTGTTTGTCATCCTGATCAATGCGCTATAGATTATGGTTCCCCTGACTGTGGAACGGGATAAAAGAGAGGCTAAAGCCCAGCTGAGGCCAGAGAGAGAGAGAGAGGAGGATGGGTAGATTCGGATAGATGTGTGTGTGTGTGTGTGTGAAGCAGAAGGGATTGAGCCTGCGTTCTGTGCATATGTGCTCTTGTTAATTGATTATTCATGGTTCTCTCTCATTTCCTGCCACATTCGGCTGGTTAAAACAAGAGGCACAGCTGTAGATGCTAATGATCAATGTAACACCCAGAATCAGGGTTCAAATGTGACTAACATATGCTGGGACGTGTCTGCTACTTACACTGGGTTTGTGGTGTGTTTCATGTTTTGCTGATCTCGTAACACAAGGACCTTCTTTAGAGTTTGTGGTGTTTGTGTTTGTAGTTGGCTATGTAAAAATGTCCCCAGAAATTTGTTAAATATGTCCAAAAAAGTCATATATATATATCTATCTATCTTATATTAGGGATGTAATGGTATGAAAATTTCTTATCACGATTATAGTGACCAAAATGATCATGGTTATCAGTATTATCACGCTATTGTTAAAATATGCTGGAAATGTTAAAAAAGTTCTGACACATAAATCGTTTCACCAAGTCTTGTATTTAAAATCAACAAACAATAAATCAAATTACTTTTTGTTGCATAAACACTAAAACAATAGCATTACCAGTGATGTCTGGATTTTAAATGACAACATGACTGACAACAGTTTATCTAAGAGCATGTACGAAGTGTTCAAATAAAGCTTTGAAAAAGTTTCATAAAATGGTAAACCTCACATTTCAGCCATTTCTGGGCCATAAAATGTTTCAGATGCATTGCTGTTGATTGCTATGGTCTAGTTTCACCTTGTAATGAAAATAACAAACCATTAAAGGTAACCATTAAAATGTTTAAAAAAAGATGCACACAAGCGGCACGTTGATAATAAAAAGGGCAGATTGTTCCCCATGATCTCTGAGGTCAGTCTTGTTAATTTGTTGAAGATCATGTCAGCTGACCAGTTCACTTTGTCAGTTGAGACCAATGTATTAGTAAGAAGTATCTGTAGTAGAGATGAATGAGTATCAGCCCATCAGAAATGCCTCAGGCAAAAGCCCATTAACTTGATTCAATTTATTGTTTAATAAATTAGTGGGTTTTTAGCCTGGAGATTTAATTAACCTTGATGTTAACGTGACATGTATTTACTTGTCCGTTAATGAAAGTGCTTTAACCTGTTCCTTCACCCTAATAGAAAATTGATGGTTCTCGGGGGTCGTTCACACAGAACGCAACTTTGCATCTAAAAACATGAGATGCTGTGCTCCTCCTCCATGTTGTTGTCAAATAAAACTGTTGCCATGACAACTTGCACGCAAACACAGGAGGTCAAATGCTATTTCATGCATTCTGACTTATTTACACTTTTTACACGCACCACTTATCGATGTCAGTTCCAAAATAGTGGGCCAATCAGAAGACTCCGGAGGCGGGCAAGCGTTACAAGCTTTGTTTACAGTAAAAGTTGAAATTCTTTCAATGTGACATGGCATCTTAAAGACATGAGATGCAGGCGCAATTGTCATACACATCCGTCTAGTGCATTTACATAGAAAAACAATGGAAAAATAGCGTATTGGAATAGAAAAATTCGTTCTGTGTGAACGGCCCCTTACGGTGTACTAATGTGGTCAACACATTCATGTCATTTCAGAATTACTGAAATTGGGTGTTTCTTGGGCATCTAATGCTGTATTGCCATTGTGGTCTGAAAACACAGTATTCACACACTCTCACTAGCTTATTAAATGTGTCCACTAACAATGTGTTTGCACATACATCACAAAAGATGTCTGTTTTTTGTAATGCAAAAATGCACCACACTCTTAAAAAAAAAAAAAAAGGTGCTTCACGATGCCATAGAAGAACCTTTTTGTCTACATGGTTCCATAAAGAACCTTTAACATTTCTCTTTCACAAAAGGTTCTTTGTGGCGAAAGAAGGTTCTTCAGATTATAAAAAGGCAAGAAAGAGATGGTTCTTTAAAGGAGACATATTATGCCCCTTTTTACAATATGTAATATAAATCTCTGGTGTCCCCAGACTGTGTCTGTAAAGTTTTAGCTCAAAATACCCCACAGGTCATTCATTATATCATTTTGAAAATGCCTATTTTGAGTGGATGCAGAAACATACTGTTTTTCGTGCCTGTCTCTTTAAATGCAAATGAGCGGCTGCTCCCCGCCCCCTTTTCCAGAATAGAGCTGCACCATTACAGCTCGTAGCGGCTAAAAAACATCTGTTTTGGTTCTGATTATCATGTTTATCATTTATGAAATCATGCGTTTTAAACCATATGAGTTTAAACTTCTGATATATTTCCTTGGTTCGTAGATGCACCGGGAACCTGATTATAGCACTTCAAACCTGGAAATTCAGATTTTCATGATATGTCACCTTTAAAGAACCTTTGACTGAATGGTTCTTTGTGGAACCAAAAATGGTTCTTCTATGGCATCGCTGTGAAGAACCTTTTAAGCACCTTTTTAAAGAGTGCAGTTTCATTTCCAGCACATCTCAAATTCTGTGATGGAAATGACTCCTTTGCCTGACTACTAAATTTCATAGCTTTTATGTATCCTACATTTCACAAATTACACAATTTCGATTTTCACATAAATTCATGACTTTATAAAATGATGCACACAGTAAAAATAGTGATTCTTGCTTTAATTTCTATTATGTCTTGCATATTCCATCTCATGCATGCTCTTCAATGATAATGTCCTTAAAAACACTTGGTACATTTAATTTTGATAAAATATATTAGAAGTAAAACTGCTCTGTGTGGTGAAAATTATGCCACAACTGTTGGACAGTTGTATTTTTTAACAATTTAAGTAGATTTCACTTTAAAGTAAAAATCAATTTAAAATATATTTTAATGTTTTGCTTGGTCATTCTTTGTTTAAATTATGATACTTTTAAGCATGTATTTATTTTTTAATGGATTTTCCTAGTATAAGATTGAAAGTCTCTGTTCAGGACAAGAGTAAAACAATAAAATCTATTAATAAAAAACCTTCATATAATACAAGGGTTATCTCTAAATTTAACAAACAAACAAACAAAAAAGAAGATTTAGAGTTCCCTGCTAGTAGATTATTATTTTTTAAACAAAATGTAATGAAAGCTCTTAATTACATGGGGAAAAATGAGAGCTGTCTAGGATAGTCTGGTAGCTACTTTATGTATTTCTGTCTTTATCTGTCTATTCATATTTCTTTTATTTTTTTCTCCCTCTTGATAATGTCGTCATTTCAGATAAAACTTAAAATCCTGTTTTATTAGACTTAAGAGTTGGCTAGCTGTCCAGTCAACTTTTTAAACATTGAACCATTCATTTCTTTGAATTTAGTAGATTCTGTGGCAGAGCAGATTGTCAAACATGACTTGAATGCAGCATTTGTCCATGATTCTTTGCCTTTGTTAATGTGTTGTCAAGTTTTTTTTATCTTTTGTTCTTTTCATCAGGATCCGGCCGCAGATGGCAAAGGAAAAGATTGAGGGATGTCACATCTGCACCTCCGTTACTCCCGGGGAGCCCCAGGTGCTCTTGGGTAAAGACAAGGCCTTTACGTATGACTTTGTGTTTGACTTGGACGCTCAGCAACATCAGATCTACAGCGCCTGTGTTCACAAGCTGGTTGAAGGCTGCTTCGAGGGATACAACGCAACCGTCTTCGCTTACGGACAAGTAAGATCTACCACGCTTGTCTACACTTGGACAACTGATAAAATGACGTTTACACTGATTGTGAACCAGAAATGGCAGATGGGTTTGTGTCAATGATGATAGCGGTCATTTGTTTTCTGCATTTACACCAAAACTCACCGTTATCATCATTGACACAGTTTACACTTCTCAGCGAGCCACTTATTTATATGATGATGTTTTCACTGTGTTAGTTATAATGAAAGTATCATAGAAATCACATTGCAATAAGGAGATCCTTGCATCATGTGTTTAGTAGACATGACTGTGTTTAGCTGCAGTGAAACCTTTGATACAGTGGGATTTGATCCCGATTAGTTAATCTTAGCAGCTGTTATAGTAAAAAGAGTAACAGTTTTTAACAGAGTTCCACATGTATGACTCATTTCATATGCAAAGATTTTAGCCAATCACAGCATTTAAAAAATGCATTTCATTGTGTGAAATTTCACTTGTGTGTTTTTGTGTATGATTGTATATTGAATGTTAGCATTGTATTCATTTTAATTCTTCATTGTGCACTGTAATGGGTTTTGTGCATGTTTTTAATGTTTGTTGCAGACCGGTTCAGGAAAGACCTACACCATGGGCACTGGCTTTGATGTAACCATGTCGGAGGAAGAGCAGGGCATCATCCCACGGGCCGTGCAACATCTCTTCCAGGGCATCCAGAAACGCAGACTAGAGGCACAGAGCGCCGGCATGCCCCTGCCAGAATTCAAAGTCAGCGCCCAGTTCCTGGAGGTGAGACTTCATCAAATATAGAACTTTTTTTTTTTTTTGGTAGTTTTGCTGCCATTTATAGAGCCCTATGAAATCAGTTTCGTTTTTTCCCAAATTGGGTTTTGTTTTTCTCTAAAAGCAGTTTTTTTCCAATTAATTTTTTCTGGATTCTGTTTTTTTTTCCCCGTCTGAATTTTTCTACATTCTTTTAATGGTTAAACTACATTATAGTAATCAAAAAGCATGTTTAATTAATTTAAATCATGAAGCGTATACAATTTTTTAAAAGTTTAACAAAAACAATACTTTTAGGACTCTAATTGTTATTTAATGCTAATTGTTTTTTTTCTCAAATTCTGTTTTATTTTTTTACCAAATTCTGTGTTTTATGTTTTAATTTTTCTGAATTCCGTGATGGTTCAATTAAATTGTAATAATAAAAAAGCATGTCTAATCAATTGAATTTATAAAAACGACTTAATAATGTATTACATTTTTTACAACAATAAGGCCCCATGATTTTTTTTTTCATAAATATAATATATATATTGTAATGAAAAAATAAGCTTTTAATCAAGTGAAAATGAAACAAAACCTTACATTTTTTGGCAAACAAAGTGCTGTACAAGTGTAACAGAGGTTTTGAAATTAAAGAACAATTGTGTGATTATTTCTTAAAATAGTGTTGTAATAATTTTATAATTTGTATTATTAGTACGTTGAGATGTATATTCAACTGTAAAAAACGAATAGGCCTATATTTCTGTCACAATTTCAAGTTAAACCGAACTTTTATTTTTATGGGTTGCCATGATTATAGTTGAATTGCATTGAAAAAAAAAATTGTGTAGGATTTACTTGGAAACAATTGTCAAACAGTTTTTTTTATCAATTTTGCTAGTAAATTTCACAAATAATTACAAAACAATTCACATTTAAATCAATGCGTTAGTTAAAATAAAAAAGGTAAATTGCGACTTCCGATTAAGGGTGGGTGATATAGCCTAAAAATTATATCACAATATTTCAAGAATATTTGCGATTAATGATATTTATTAGGGCTGTGTATCACCAGCAAAGTCACGATACGATACGTATCACGATACAGATACCACGGTACGATACATATCACGATACAGGACTGTGAAAATTCGAAGAGTTCTAAACTAATGCGCTGTCTTCACTGTATCTCACGCACACACACGCTCAGTCACTCACACAGATCATGTTGCGGCCGCACTCAGGAGCAAACTTTTTAGCGCCGCCCCGCAATTTGATCAACTAAATAGCTTAATCGCTCAAGAGCTACATTATCTTTCTCAACAAGGAGCTGGTAACATCGTTGTTTCTAAAGGAATTAAAGCCACAGCTTCACAAGAGAACAAAACCAACCAAAATTTAAATTTCTTAAGAGAACAAAACCAACCAATATTTACATTTCTTAATAGAACAAAACCCACCAGTATTTCAGTCTCTTATTCGCTCTGAACGCCTGAATGTGTGCACGAGTCACTGCAGCACTGATGTATATGCTAGACAACACTGCAAATACAATATAGCCAGATCTAAATGCTAAGAAAAGTTACTAGTTACTTCACACAAATAGTAACGGAGTTACATCATTATAAAAGTAACCAATTACCAGGGAAAGTAACTATTGCA